AGTGACAAGGAAGATGGCTACAATATGTCCCACAACAATGAGGATAAAGCTGATGGCCAATGGACGGAACCACGCAGTGATATCACACGGCACTGATTGGTCGTCACCGTTGCAGCAACAACAGAAACGAGATCGCCAGCAGCAGCAGCAGCCTCCAGGTGGGTTTGGATGGTTTGAGGAGAGGCGAAGTGTCCAATACTTCCTCTGAATGCCATGATTGGGACTCTCCGTGATTTCGCCTAATGTGTTGCCTTCTGGACCAATTAAAACGAGGTTGCCTATAAAATAATGTTTTGCCTTTGTTAAGGAGACCCCTCGGTAGATTTAAGGATAGATGCGATCACGAGTTGCTACCCACCCTCCCAGGAGATCAGACGAAAGTCAATCTCTGATCTGTCGGTTAAGTTTCGGCCATTACCTTTCAACCAACCCGTTTGGGTCACCATTTAATTCAAACTATCAAAACTACAAACTCCTCCTTCGTGACTCATCAATCTGATGCTAAAATTAGGAGATCAAAGACACTTCCTGCTGCAGCGATGTGTTGGGTTAAAACTGTCACGACTGAGCGTGACAGCATTGTGGGGAGGTGTCACTTTCCACCTTCCACTATCAATTGCCACGCAATCACGCAATTTTGTGGCGACAGCACACTGCTTAATGGAGCACAAAATCAGTTTTTGGTGGGTAAAAAAGTGCCCCGAATTTGCCTATTTACACAGTAAGAGGTGTTAGGTAAGTTACAACTCTAACAGTTTAACTTGAACTTCAAAGTGTAAAAAAAATAGTTGTGCAAGCCCATTGAGAGGATGAATGCACTGACAAATAGAACACGTAGAGACAGTCGAGTGAAATTTTGCAAAAGAAGAAATGACAGTTGATAAGGCGTTTGCAACGAACACAAATTTCAACACTCCACTAATGTCGGTAGTGAAGAGGGAAAATAAAATGTGCCTTTACAACTTCCATTAGTCTATTAAGCATTTACTTGGTAGCTCTTCGCCATTTGCATGTGTCAGCCGACTTGGAAAAGTGAGCTGCACACACACGTAGAGAGAGGAAGAGAGAAAAAAAGGAAGGAGTACTGCAAGACAGCCACCTAGTTCGTGGAAGGCCAAAGCTTTAGTTATTTGAGATGGAAAGATTGGAAGTATTTTGCGCTCCAATTCGTGAGACATCCATTTCAATGGGAACGACTCAGTATGCAAAGAGTACTGAAAGCATGAAGACACGCGAAAAGCCCCGCCAACAGGTGTGATGGGGGAGAGTGGACCTTGACGCACGACACTATCGGACCACTTTCATGCCACCTTCATGAAAAGCTTGCGTTCCACTTTGCAATTAAAAATTGACCATTCAACAACCAGCTTAGAGGCAATGGAACACTTAAGTGCAACTTTTTTAAAAGGATGAAAGTTTGATCTAAGTGCTCTCTGAAAAGGTTAGATAATTTAACTATCTTTTAAAACTTAGAGAGGAGAATGACCTAACTCAGTCTCTCAAATTCTCCGATGTTGCCTCCTCCCGTTGAGCACAAAAAACCCATTAAGGTAGCTAATCAAAGCGAAATTGTTTACTAAAGTACAGTGTTGACCAGGAAGTGTTGTGGATATCCTACCTACCGGTTTTCAAGCGTAAAGCTGACGCCTTAGCTACACACCCTGTCAGATTAACGGTAACCGTTGTTTGGAGCTGTCATAAGCGCATTATTTGGAAATTTCTCGTTCCAAGCTTAAGTAATTCCAAGCATTTTTCACTCGAGAGGCGACGCGATCAGCGCACATGAGGCGGAAAAAACCTGCAGTGTTGTAATGAAGGCATTTCAGTGACTGCCCAACTGGGAGTAAGAATGTTTGAACCAGCGCTTGTCCACCCTTACACCACGAGGGAACGCAGAACAAGTTAAAACGAGGGCACAAAGTTACAAAAAAAAACGATAAAAAGGCAAAGACTTTGCAAACAAAGGCCATCACTAATTTCCATACTTTGCAATCGCAAAGATTATTAAAAGGAAGCGATAAAAGCAAAGACAAGATGTTTAACTTACAAATCATCAGATAATTGCAAGAGCCCGACTCCGTTAAGCAAAACTTATACTGTCGTAAAGTATAAAATCTGATGATAAATTTGGACACCAAAACTGATATCCTTACTCTGCTTTGCGCATCTTGGTTGAACGTAGAGAAGGATTGCGATCACACTCCCTAGAAGAACTTGCACAATACCTAATGTGAGACAGAGCCATGAAACTGAATAGTAGACGTTGAGAACGGGACAACTCCAGTAGATGTATCTGAAACTGGCAGCACTGCCAATTAGGAGGAGAAGGCCCATTGAAACAAGACTGACAACAAGGGCAACCTGACTGTAGAGGACGCAGCGCACATGAAAAGTTGTCGATTTGAAGAGCATTACGGTTCTGGAAGTGAGAGTACATCAAAGAAGTGAAGTGGGTTTGACGTGTAGCAATTCCGGCACATCACAGAGTCACGTGGCGCAAATGCTATGCAACAACGCATGCGGTGTAAAGGTAAGCAAAGGCTGCGTACAAATAATTGTCAATAAAAATTGTCAATGAAAAATTTCTTCTAATATTCGACAGAAACCGCCCATACAAAGCGAAATGTTTGGGACTACATTAACTTAATTAACGTTGCTGACTTAAAATAAGTAAGTTAAACAAACTGCTCGGTAGACATAATATTTTTGTAAAATTTCCTACTGAGAAATAATGGCATTGAAATGTGATAGGCCAAAAGGTCATAAACAAATGAAATTGACTCAATGTTACAAAGAATGCATACTGCAATACCAATTTAATTTTATTTTCGCTTAAACGACCGCAGAATACTGTGCATTGTAAATAATGCCGCTTACCATGTTCAATAATACTTTAAAGTCAAAAAACTCTGCTAACAATTAATAATCGTGCTCGAGTTCCTTACGTAACACCAATGAGTGATTCCTTTCAAAAAGCCCACATTGTCACTTTCAAGGACGTGTAAATATCTCACAGTAAAACTTAACAAAGGAGGCAATTGCAATTATTATCAAATTCGTTGCAACTGTAAGTGAATAAACTAATTTTACTGACATAATTTAAGATTTAAACTCAATAAAAATATGCAAATGATTTACAGTTTTACCGACTGCAGAGATTAGAGGAAATATACAAATTACTGCGGTGTAAACGAGCCTCATTCGAGCGAAATCGCCCCGCCCTAGAGTGGGACGGTTCTGCACTGCGCAAGACCTCTCCTAGTATAATGAAAGACATGGTACTAGGGTAGAGAACGAATCTGGTCTATAACGATATCAGAGACTTGTACGTCCGCAGACCAGTTACGGCAATAAACTTCAGAACTTCAGTCCTATAAACAAATGACACACGCCGCACGAAACGGCAGATGACCACACACCCCATTACAAACCACAAAGCTTTAGACGGTAAAGTTGTTTTTCATTGATATGCTCAATGGACGTATAAACTGTCCATAGCACTCTCACTTCGGATTATGCTCGCCTTCCAGTCTTCACTTTAATGCTCTAACCATTGATTTTGGTGATTCTTTAATTATTGTTGCAAGTAAATAGTTCGTATGCATCGCTCCCACGTGTTTTCGGAAGCTATAGCTAGAAAAGACACTATATATGTTACCGCCAAATGGGGGCCGTGAGACCATGTGGGTTTTAAAAGGCTCGGAGACATGACTCGCTCTGATTGATAAAGCAGAATGTATGTGAAAGCGAAAAAGAAGCTATTTTTAAGACCAATAACACCGCAAAGCCCATGGTTTTCCCTGAAGCAGCAGATGGGAACATCAAGCACACAACCACCAAGACAGCCAATCCGTTCCCAACTACATGGCGACGCATTGATGGACCAACTCAGTCGCCGAAACATAGGAACAGCTGCATTCCGGCATCCAAACGCTATGCAAGCAATGAACGTATCAAAAAAGTGCTCTGTTACAATGATTGAGAAGAAGAGGAATAAAGCTACAATCAGAATGCATACAGTTCCTATACACAAAAGTACCGCACAGTACAGTACGCAACAACACTAACAGACCTCAGGGAGCAAGTGGAGCATGTGGCGGAAAGCTGCTTGGAGTCGCAACAAAGGCTGCGGCTGCAGCGGCAGCAGCAGCGGAGGGTGGGGGGACCACTACACTCATGAGAGGTGGGGGCAGCCAAGGCCCCCCAGGCGGCGGTGGTGGTGGAGGTGGGGGTGGAGCCTGTCCAGCTAGCACAGTAGGAAGAGGTGGTGGTGGCGGTGGTAGCGGTGGTGCTAACTGAAGCGGATTGTAAAAAGCATTGCATTAAATTTCAGCTACTTTGTATAAAATTTAGCTGAAAACATAAAGCTGTAACCACTATAAGGGTGCTCCAGGTCCTCTGTAAAGTTACAGAAGAAACTTGTAGGGTCGATCGGTATTTTCGCGCTTACGAAAGCGGAAAAGGGGGAGAATTCCAAAGTAAAGACTCATTTGCAGCAACAAACTACTCTGAGAGACTAAACTTCGCCTCAACATGAGTTCTGAAACGGTGGTGATGAATGCGTATGCTTCTGATTCGAAGTTGAAAGCATGGCGTTATGCTCTGCAGTCTCACTGAAAAAAACAAAAGGCTCAAGCTCGAAAACATTGATTCACACAGTGTAAGTCAGCTTCCCGTTTGGAGGAGTACTTTCCAGCTCATATCATTAGCCGTTAGAGAACATCAATACGATGTTGCAACGAGCAGAAAAATTGTTTGAACACATAACACGACCACAATCACTTCAGCACCAGTGATGTGAAGCAGACCACTTCAGACTTACAGGTAGGTTGGTTGAGATTAAGGTTTTAGGGGAACTACTTGAAAGGTATGATGGGTGTAAAATGTAGTAATAGGAAGAAAAAGTGCGTGTGGACTTAAAACTCATAGTTTTATACCGACTTCCCAAATATTTTTATTATTATTAAAAGAGTATTCAATACGTGAAACTAGTAAATTACAAGGCAATAACAAACATTAGAGTTGAGTTTGTCGCTCATCAAGACCTCTCTGAGTAGCTAATCACTCACCGGGATCGCTGGTGGTGGCGGGGGAGGAGGAGCTCCGACAATTGTCGTGGACGCAGAACCCACTCCCACAAATGGTTGTGGAAAGGCTGTTGGCAGTATTCCATGCCCGTATCTCGGCACTGTTTGATTCCATACTAAACCAGAGGTGGTAGTTGTTGCCATCGTGGCATTGTTATTGGATGACTGAAGCGGAATTGCTGTCAGAAGAAACATGACGACAGTAACTCACGCAAAGAATGTGGGAGACCCTACTCACTCAGCCTTTTACTCACCTTCTAGTGGTTTTTTTAAGGGCTGAGGTGGCGGTGGTGGCGGTGGAGGAGGAGGAGGAGGTGGGGATGGGGCGCAGTGGCTACGCCTTTTGGAGCCAGTCTGCGGTGGTGGATCAGATTTTGCAACTGTCTCAGTGGAGCTAGGTTTATTACCATCGGAGTAAATGTCGAGAATACGATGACAAATGTCTTCCATTACCTCCACAGTCATGCCCTCCACGAAGCACTCCCACCAGGGTTGGCCAGACCGGCGTCCATGCCAGTCGGTGACGGGCCATGACTTCATTCGCGTAGCCAAGTAGAGCACGGCGCAGGCCACAATCTCAGGCTCCCACTGAAGGCACAGGGTCGTCTCTAAACTGTCGTTAATGAAGGACCACGCCATCTGCACTATCTCCTTAATCTTCTCCTGAGAGCCTAGTATAAAAACACAGGAGCCAAAGACTACGAGTGAAACCATTCACTTTTGAAATTTCCAAAAGGGTCAAGTGTCAATGGCGCATTACACTAAGCCCAACAGAAAAAATGGATTTCTCGTGGCTGCTTGGCACGAAATAACACAAGATAAGGGATTCATAAGCAAACACGAATTGACTTTTATAAAAAAACAAAGCAATGTGTAAAACGGCCTTTATTCTTCTAAATATGTTCGGCATTTAACTAATATCTGAAAGTCCTCAGAAAAAAAGCCACCAGTAGGACAACGTCATCCCAGGCACCAGAACTACGCTCGCAAAAATTTAAGTTTTGCAAAAGATTTTATCTACTTTAAGTAGATGATGAACACGTCTGTGATGAGATAACTTGTTTGTTTCAAGACGCAAGTTTTCAATGCCTGGTTAAAATGCACACAAAACAACTTAATTTACTAAAGAACGGGAGCAATAAAGGTAATAAACTTTTCAGACCAGTGTGAAGCATGAGATTAAGAAGCTAATCAACAACAAATTATAAAAAGACTGGAGATTCCTTTGGTCTCCTAAGTGCATTTTATACCAAATAACCTCATATGCTAACGTCAAGCAGGTGTAATCAATATCCGAGAAACTAAATTCATACTTTTGTGGTCAAAAATAATTTTGAGTTATATTTTCATATGGGAGAACGACATTGTGCTTCTCCCGAAGACTGAATAACAATAAGAAGCGGCGCCCATTGCAATAGTGGAAGTTACATCTCAACACTGTCAAAAACCAAAATAACAGAAAAAAAGGATTCCGGAAGAAGTAAACAACAACAGAGATAACTAACCCTTTAGGCGCTTTGCGTATTGTAAGAGAAAACTATAAGGATGAGTGACTTGGAGATCAAATTTAATGGTCTTGAGAAGGACTCTCTCGTACATCATTACTTCCTCCTAAAGTAGATTATAGATCAATAACTGCAATTTGAGAGTAGTTCGAGCAAAACTTGTAGGCAGTACCCTGGGATCGTTCCCAAATGTAGCAAACAATTCAGGCGATAAAAGTTCACGAGCCGTCCGAATTATATCTCGGCATTTCTTTGGAGTCTCTTCAACTTTTCCAGCCAACATCAAGCAACAAGCGGCGGTAACCTAAAGGGATATGAAGGACTAGACATTCCGAATGTTTCCAAAGGAATAAAGTAAGCAGAACTCACATGACGAGGAAAGGCTTTAAAGGAGTGACACATGTAAAATCGATGAAAGAAAACAATGGCCGTGGCCCATGTGTCGTAGCGAAGGTGGAGACGAGTGCTTAGGTCGAGTATGAAGCGGGCACCCTCACGACGATAGCGATTTTCCGTCTGTTGATCAACTCCATCTAAGACAGAGGGAGTTCGGAGAAAGTCCTCCTTTTCGTAATACCAACATGGCATTTGCTGGAAGAAAGGAGGAGAGTAAATAGGATCTGTCAAACTATTGATAATAGTTTGAGACGTCACTAGGGGATTTACGGATAGGGCCAAAAAACCGTATGAAGAAATAAGTATATTTATTTTTCAAGCATTTCGCAAGGGAAAATAAGTTTACATGCTGATCCATAATGCGCCAAAGACAAAGGGGAGCACTTTCCTGAGTAAACAGCCAAACCTGCTCTCGACATATGTTCCGAAAAGGGCAGAACCGCTGCGAGCACGTTCAAACATAATCGGTATATTTGCAGAAAACCACGCATCAAATGGTTCTTGTTAGACTTATGTATGAAAAATTAAAAAACGAATTGTATTTGTTACTATTTGATATGGACTTAATCTTAAGTTCTAAACTAGCTTAAAAATATGAAAGGTAGACTAGTGTGAAATGAGCATGGCTCAGAGGTCAACCCGGGCAGGCTAGAGCATAGTGAAAAGTACCTTCTAGATCAAGTTCTCTGTTGCTAAATAACGCGAAAACACTAAAGTGGCTGTCAGTCAGACGTGTAGTATCTTTTACCCTGCTCTTCAGATTATTTACTTCAACGTTCTTAAGAGGAAGGATACTCAAAGAGAATACATTTATGATAAATAAAAGGAGCGCAGGAACAGCCAAAGGAAAATAATCTTGCTCGTTCGAATTGTTCTTCTTTCCTCTCTTGAAAATAATAGAACATGTTGTTCCTCACCTCTTTTCTCTTCAGCACAACCCGCAGGCCTAATTTTTGCATTTTGGTCCTAATAACGAGGCGTATTCCTTTCCTAGCACGTAAAACTGTCCTCATATCTTAATTGGAATTGGTATTTTACGAAGCCTGTAGAGAATCTTGTTTGAGGATGTTGCAGAATGTCCATTGTGCTTCTGATGTAGGATTCGACTTGTACATCTGGGATAAAACCCCTGCTTTGTAAGCACCGATTGTGGTCTGCCTGTCGTAGAGCCTTTCTACTAAATATGTTCCTCCTGCAGTTGCAAGTGAGTCGCGTAAAACACTTTCCGTAGGCCTTCATATATTCTCTAATCATAATCGGGTGGTTGATGTGTAAGGTGACGCTCGAATCACGGTCCGTAGGCATCTTGTATAGCAAGCCATCTACTAGTGCTCGAGAAAAGTGCGTCCAATGCGTGGGTCACAGTCTTTTGGTTGGACAGTTCTAGTAAAGGTTTTCAGGAGTCCTACAATTTTTCGGTTTGTACTTCTCAGCCGCCCATTCCCCTTGCACACGTTTAACAAATCCCAAAGGTTTCGCACAGTAAAGCATATACACCGTGTTAGCAGATCGGCTACTGACAAATCCGTTCAATTCTGTCTCAGCATCCTGCGCCTTAAGAAGTTCTGCTTCCGCTACCCTAATGAAATAATCGACTGTCGACAGAATTTGGCGACTTGTCCTCTCGGTCATTAAGAAAGGGCTTATGATGTCAGTGGGTAATGTTCCCTTAGAACCCCATAAATATAAGCTGCAAAAATGGCATTGCATTGCAAGTGGAGAACATTAAGAGCATTGCATATTACGCAAGTCAGACTAAATTCAGGGACATCAGAGGTCGGCAGAGGTCACTAATATTCCTCTTTTCCAGCCTCAACCATCTCCTTTGGACCCACGTGTTCATATTGCTCGTGTAGTTTTAAGTCGGACTGCCTAAGAGAAGTTTAAGGCTTACCGCATTGTCTTTGCACCAGATATTTTCTCCTAATTCTGCCGTACTGTGGTTTTGACGGCGACTGTCTTTAGCTGCAGAGTCAACGCTTTGCACATTGCTTTAGTGGTTTATGGTAGATATGCTAAACAGAGACGCATTTCTTGTAGCACTACCTACAGTATTTAGAATGAGTTTGTGGGAGAGGGCATGGAAGATTCCCTTTTTATGCTGCAATATGGCGTCATGTTGCTGTAGTTTTTTGTCTCATGACGACAAAGCAGGGGATCTCCCTCAGCGTTTATAGTCACATTTGAATCTGATGATCTGTTTGCAATACTGACTGTTTAATCATCAGATAGTGCTCAACACGCCTGGCCATTGTATTAATAACAGACAGTTGCAATATTTATGCACTCTTCCACCTCAATTTTTGCCAAGCCACGGACCAGCGTGATTGTTTAAATTTCCTCCCAGCTTTGCGTGTATGGGAGCAATCGCCGCCTACTGCTACATCGCTTACGTCCACGTCCAGAATAAAAAGATGGAGCAATAGCCTCAAAGCTGAGTGGAGCAAGTATCGATGCCGCACAGAAGGCGCCTTCAGTTCCTTGAGCGCCTCGATGTACAGTAAATCCCCAATAAAAACTGTTTACCCGTCTGTTACTCCGTTAGCATGCGTAATAATTGCGATTTCAGCTCATGGAAGCTTGCTCTTTTGCCAAGATCTCCCTTTCTCCTGCGAAGCATAGCCTTGCAGTCAGAGGAGAGATATTTATCATTTTACTAGTCATCAAGTGTGTCAGTGGGCTTACAAAGACCATCATTTCTCAGGGTCAAAAAATGCATGGACGACCTCTGAACACTTGAGCCTCGTAAGGAAGAAAGCAAGAACCCAAAAATTGGGCTTATTTGGTACTAAAGGAGAGTTCGTGAGCTGGGCCATCTGCTGGACATCCAAGGGGAAAAGGGTCAACGATCTTTTCTTGAAACTGAAACTACCACTGCGTGGTAAAGACGACTTAGTATGCTTTTTTTCCTTGTCAAAATTGATGATTAGAACTTTTAAACTGTGCTGCTACACATGCAAAACTCAGTAGAAAATCGCAGTCCTTGAAAGCCTGTTTTGCTTATAGCTGGAGACCAGTTGCAAACTCTTCTCTGCCTTCACCGTTTTTAAAGATACTGGAAACAAAACGAGGAGAGACCAAAATTTGTTCTCTTAGAGCCGAACCAAGCCTACAAAGCATCTCTCAATATTGGTTACTAGCACATATCATTAGTTAATTATTTCGTAGGACACGAAGAAGCAAAGCAAACCTATCTGTATGATTACTTTAAACCAAGTCACATTTCGTGATGACGCCAAAACCAGAGTAATAGCTGGTACCCTGCTCGTCAACTTCTTTACATCAGACTTCCTAGATAAAGGGTTCTTGAAATGAATTGATACTGCATGACAAAATGGATGCAAGGAATGTCACAAGAATGGGCACACTTTCTTCACTAATACGGCTTGAAATGCTTTGTTTATGTGACTACCTGACATTTGGCGGTCACTTTAGAATTTGTCTGCCTTCGGGCCACGCTCAGGCTCCATTTGCACTGTCGTCTTCAGAATGCATGTATTCAACCTCACTTATGCCTTCTTCTACCCTATAGAAAACCTCGGAACGCTAAACGGCTCTTGAATTGTTCTTTCATAGTGTAGCGTCCCGAGGCTTCCAATGGGATAGTAGAAGGCATAAGTGGGATTGAATACATGTATTCCGAAAGCAATAGGAGAAATGGGGCCTGAGCGTGGCCCGAAGGCCAGCCCACGTGCACAGGGCCCCGACAAATCCTAAAGTAACCGCCAAACGTCAGATAGTCACATAAACAAAGCATTACACATAGGTCAACCAAAACACATTACATTGCAGATTGTCACATAAACAGTTTATTACTCCCATGAACTTATGCGTCACTTTGGTATATATTGTGCTTTTGCCTCGTGGAATGGCCTTTCATGAAGACTTCAGACGCCCTTCTAAAATTTACATCTTACCTTAACAAAACAGTCACCTTTAGTGTCTTCTACTTTTGAACGAGTAGTCTTGAGACATTACACTTTAACCTGGTCTTGAATCGATCTTTTGAATTTTGCTTAGGTTTTGGGCCTCAGGACATACTGCTTCCATTTAACAGATGCGCTGCAAGCATCGAGATTGGTACCTATAGTAATTCGAGGCTAAACCTTAGGCAGCAGAAAGCGTAAGACAACTGGATATTTATATTTTAACAAATGTGATAAGGGTACAATCTTTACCATAAGCAATGGAACACATGTAGGTTTAAAATGTTTGATTTTAAAGGCAACTATAATTTAGATAAAATTTAGTGTTATTTCGCACTTACTCCTTATACTTCCGTTTTAATTCACTAATAACGTGACTCGCTTTTGCAATTGTCCATTACTTCGTGTTCAGACTGATGGAGGTTAGGGTGCTTTTAAATCTTACCTCACGTTTATAGGAGGATGTGAAATCAGAAGGTGTTGGCATTCTTTTCTGCAGTGAATGTAACAATATGCTCTATCCAAAGGAGGATAAGCGACACAAAAGGCTTATGTACGCATGTAGAAATTGCGAGTTCATGCAGCCGGCGGATAACCCACGCATTTATGTCAATCGTATGGAACAGGACATTGAGTGAAGTGTCTTTCGGACTATTCGTTTGGTTTTTTGTTGCCATTTTGAGCCAAGCTCTGCTTTCTTTACTAGTCGTAATTTTTAATGTGGGTCATAGCCGTTTATTTGACGAGCACTTACTTTTAAATAATCATGTAGTTAGATGTCGCTTTGTATTCCTGATTTATTTCTATACATTTCATTTCTAAACAGAATATCGGATTTCGATAATCACCCCCTAATGTAAGAAATGGCTCCTTTTGTTCTGCGAAGCCGCCAAAATCGTGAAAAGGCATTAATGGATAGTTTTAGCACTTATTCCTTTCATTAAATTAGTGAAATTATGAGTATATGGTCGCGGGTGTTGCATGAGAAGTAGAAGGCGAAACAATTCGTCAAACCGTACTCGATAAATAGGTCGGCTGATCTTTGTCCATAGCAAGCTCATGAAGACCAACATATCACCATGGTTAGGTGGGGTATGTTTAATCAGTGCTGCCATCTTGATGCCGGACATGTCTCCAGTCGTTTTTTTGCGCATTGTGAGTTGGGTGCCTCGCGAATCAGTTTAGTTGAATAATATATTACCCATATTTTGTGCTATCGACGCTCTTTGTAATGAGAAGGGCGGTTTGAAAATTACTGCAGCAGCTTTTAAATTACCAGTCGTTTTAATCTGTCTTTAGCGAGCTAGCACTGATAGTACCTGACGTGGTGCACGATCCGACGCTACCGAGAACGGAAGAGCACCAGTGTCCTCGTTGTAAGAAGCAAGAAGCGGTATTCTTTCAGTCGCAAACAGTGAGAGCTGAAGAGAACATGCGACTGTATTACGTTTGCACAAACCTCGATTGTCTCTACAAGTGGACAGAATGATCGTTTTTGCCCTTTATTCTCTGCACAGATTACTGCTTATTTCGATACGAGAACTTCTCTCAGCTGTACATGGCTATTTTGACTATGTATCATACCTTATTCTAGGAGTTTTCTTAAGGCTTGCACTCTAAGCGGGTTGGTAGCATTCTCACCGTCCTTGAGATACACCATTGTTACATTTAGTTTAGTTGGTCATCATTTTTGGTTGTTGTCTTTTTCCTATTAAGCTTGTGGCTATTGCGTGATGCGTGTTGCATTTTATGCGTCATACTGTTTAGTTTTCAATACCAATATTTGTCGTTCTAATTGGCGGTTCCAAGGAGCTCTCTGTCACTGTTCGCCGTACTAAGAAATATGGATTTTATAAGACATGGTTCTGTCGTTGATACAAGAAACAAATTGTGGTGATTAGGTGGGGTGACAGCACTGTCAGTTCTGTACAGTTTTGGTGGATTGCTGTGAGTCTTCTGACGTTATTCGAAGGCAAGGTGGCAGCGATCTTTTGCTGGTGATAGCAGCCTTCTGATTCTTATCTCCTCAGACGCAAGACTGCTTCCCGATTAGCCTCGCCACGTTGATATTACAATCATTCTCAATTTGTATTCTAGTAAGCTAACCCGTTGCCCATCGAGCTTCGTCCAGTTCATGCTCTCTGGCGGACTATCAGAACTGTAAGTCTACTTGATGGCTGCCTCCCTGACTATCGAGCACGTATTATCAATGCTGTGGCTCCGGGCTAGACATTCACCACGCCACACCTCATCTTCTCTATGCCTTAAGGATAATATGAGCAAACATGATGCGGCATTGTGGTGTGTACGCTTTGATGCGGGTGTATTTTGGTCCCTCAAGTCCAACAATGTAATACTCTCTTTAACCGCGACTGTGACAACTTTATGGTCAAGCTAGTTGAGCGCCAACATGTACAATTTCACGAATGTTTTATCTGCTGTATTGAGGATGGAGCTAAAGGAACTTGATTCAAAGTAGCAACTGTTGTAAGGTTTACCCTTTGTGCTTGATGTGACAAACTCCATCTACTTCTACCTGGTCGTGGAAGTTTCCAGCTGAAACCACCCATTGCCATTATTCCCGCAAAGGCAGTAGCATAAAGATGAGAGCAAAAGGATAGGCGACTAATTCCACAGAAGCCTCATTTTTACGACCTGTAATTTGTGAACCTGACCTCTCTCCTCTCAAAAATGTTATTCTTAGGATTTACGATGTCACCATCGTTGGCATTTTATTTTTAAGAGTTCTAATAGTCTCCTTAGGATTGTCTATGGGTGTGCGAAAAGTCTGTAGATAGCAAATTGAAGTTGGAAGAGGTAGTGTGGTGGTGATGGCTAAGTGACGGTGAAGGAGACACTTGTAACAGTGAGCTGAATAGGTGAAATGATAAAGTGGAACTTGCAAAGTCCGTTTAGTGCAATGAAGGCTGTCTGTCCCTGCCTTTTTCTACTATTTCCACTTACCAATATCAGAACGTCGGGAACCACATGAATCCTTATAGAGAACTCATCGAGTCGTTGATGTGGAGTAAAGGATGCGCATCCTTCATTACCTCTGCATTACGTCCCTATAACCGACGTAAGCTGCAGTCCCTCTTTTCAGCCAATGCACTAGAAGAGGATTAATAACGCCATTGCGCAGTAGCCCATCAATCGACTGATGTACTTCATCTAGGAGGAAAAGTGGTGTGTAATGCTTTGTTTCAGTGACCATCTGATGTTTGCCGGTCGCTTTAAGATTTGTCCAGCCGGTGTACGCGTGGGCTGGCCCTCGGTCCATAAGTAGGCTTAATTACTTTGTCCTCGTCAGAATACTTTTATTCAGATACACTTACTGCTTCTTCTACCAGCTAGGAAGTCCCGGGAGGCCACATTATGCCCATGGGCGAATGCCAAAAGGGGGTGCGCCTTAATGGTATGGACAGTTTTTTTATTAGTAAAAGTTTGTCCATTTTTAAGCCTCTGCAACAGTGGTGCCAGCGTCGATGTATCTTCTACCCTTTAAGGGACGACCTGAACGTCTAGGAGCAAAAGACGATTTTAATCTTGGCCTGTAGGTAGTATTTCACCGCTGCCACCACTACAGCCGTTATGGCTGTTGAAAGTTAGAGACTTTTGGGGGATGATTTTCCTGGAAAATATTATTGAGTCATTCCCAGATTTACAATGATTAGGCGAGGTTCACTTATTCGAGAAGTATGGCCCCACAGCAGATCCTTCGATAACTGAATGTGGATCAGAATCACACCAACCTCCTACATAACACAATTTAAAAAAAAACGAATTTGCCTTACTCTCAGGATTCTACAATTAAAGTTTTCATATAAACATAGCGTATGATTCCTTAGAAAAAGCTATTATTTTGAAATCATAAGAATTGACAAACATCCTAGTGATCAGCTAAAACGTGCACTGAAGTCACATATATGGCACCTATTTGTAATATGTACTAATTTGTTTAAGTGGACATCTATAGGAGAGAGGCGGGAACTAATTGCAAACACGAATCACGTGCGCGAAGGCGGAGAGGAGTGTCTCTCCAGCTGATATCTCGTGTTCTGCTCGTCTGCACCCCAATCCCCATTCTTCCCGTAACAAATGCCAAATTAATCATCTGCAAACAAACCTCTATTGAAGTCTGAGGTTCAAGGGCAGGAGGGAAGGCAGGCAGCTCTTGCACCAATAGTCTTTGATATGCTTATTCATCCACTCGTTTTCACAAAATAAACTAAGTCTCTTGTTATCTTAAATACTCCTACACTTCGATTTGAACTTTAGGCTAGATTTATAATATAAATTTAAGTCGAAAATTGACGGAAAAGATATCTTCAGTGATTTATAATATAAGAACTAATTGTGGTGTACATAGGTATGCGGGTGGAAATTGTTTTGTTTCATCTTAGTGGAGGAGGATTTTGAGTCGCTGTTGTACCGGGTTTTGGTTTTGCGCTGACTTCTGGTCTGTTTACGGTTTCTTATATACTTTACTTCTTATTCGCTTCCCTAGAATCATGTAGATGTATACATTTACATGTACGCATGTATTCGCCCTTTGCATTGTCTTCAGTTAAGCGATTTTTTTTACCACGACTTTCTTTTTTGAAGTTTGTTGGTATTTTTTCCTTTTTAAATAGATGCTAATAAACGTGAATGTCGGAGTTCTTGGTCACGTCGATTCAGGGAAGACTACCCTGTCAAAGGCTCTGAGCACGGTAGCAAGTACTGCTGCGTTCGACAAAAATCCTCAAAGTCAAAAACGCGGGATCACCCTTGATTTAGGCTTCTCATCTTTCAAGGTGGAGAAAAATATTCCTCCCCATCTTGCACCCTCTGATTCTATTCAAATTACCCTTGTTGACTGCCCTGGTCATGCATCCCTCATTAGAACCATTATTTGTGGTGAGTCTCCAAACTCTGGCACCAACTGTACATTTGTGTGCTTACCACTCACTAACTTTTAGGCACCCATATAATTGATCTAATGCTTCTCGTTGTGGACGTCAATAAGGGCTTTCAGACTCAGACCTCGGAGTGCCTTGTCATAGGTGAACTCACTTGTGACACTCTTGTGGTCGTTCTCACCAAAGTGGATCTGATTCCTCCAGAACAACGCGATGAGAAAATTGCCAAGGTTTGTCCTATTTTGTCTTAGAAAATGTAAAAGCTGTTCCAGTGGTAGCAGTTGCACTATTATCACTACCAAGGTCTGCTATTATTGCTGAGTCACTGGATCTCTTTTCGTTATTGCTAGTACAGATGAAGTCGCGAGTTTCAAGGACACTGCAACCAACGAAGTTTGCTGGCGCGCCCATCGTTGCTGTCTCAGCTCTTCAAAACGTTGAAGCGGTGTGTGAGTACAATAATTCTATTCTTACATCCTCAACCTTTACTGGCTGATGCGGCTCCTTTTAGTCAACTGGTGGAGGAATGGAGGAGTTGATTTCAACCCTTCTCAATAGCACTCCCGATCCACGAGAGAGGCGCAGTGAATTGGCAGATCTCCCATTTCTGTTTGCTGTTGATCACTGTTTCTCCAAGTCTGGTCAAGGAACAGTTCTCACTGGCACCGTTCTTCGCGGTCACATTTGTGTTGGAGAGGTATTGTTTGAACAACCTCAATTTTGTCTTTTCTCATACACATAAGGTAGATGTATGATCCACGACCCCACTTTCTGCGGTATTTCTAAATCCTAAATGCAATTTCTTATTGTTTCTAACACCGAGGAACGAAATGACTTGCAGTTACCTCCATACCACTATCATGATTATCAATCCCATGGGATTAGATGTAAGGTTTAAATTGATGTTAAATTCGTTTAATAAGACGTGGTCTTTGTGTTATTCGGTGTGTTATTTCACGGGTTTCAGGGTAGATCTTTTTGACTTACGGTTTTTATCATAAGAGAGCTTTTGAATGCATCTGTAGTGCTGTTTGGGATGCCAGCACGATTTACCTGCCGTTTCTTGTGTTGATAACGTTTTGGGCAAAGGGAAGCAATGTTGGGTGGAGTTAAGCACTAAGTGGCATTGCATCGTTCTCATAGGTGCACCTGCCCTAATGATACATAAAATAATGACACAGTAAATGGTTGGTTTTAAATTTTCACCTCGATCTTATTTCGTCTCACAGTTATCATTGCAGTGCTGCTACTGGTTAGGTTTTCACTTGAATTGGATCTCTGAGTTCCTCCTCTCATTATGGCCTATGGTAGGTGGAAGTGACCACAAAAGCACTGGAGCTGAGGCGTTTAGTTTACTATGATTCGGCTGATGTATGTATAGGCGCTATGGTCAGCATGTAGCAAATTAAAACATTCGCTGCGTAGAATAGCAGATTTTCCTTTAGGAACACCTGTGAGTTCGTGCTACTGTAATTAAGAAGCTCGGCTTTGAAGTCTCTCAGCTGTCGCATTTGGAAGAGGAACTTTTTTTGGCAATCCCTCGCTGTCACTAACTAATGAGTTGCACTGTTCTTTTTTCACAATATGACAGCAGTGGTAGCCATGGGTTGACTATGAATTTACTGCAGAGCATTTCATTCACAAGCCTCACATAACACTTCTATGCTTTGTCAACAGCACTTATCCACTATACATTAATCCTTGGCGTTCTAGTCACTTTTTTGGAGTCCTAGTGTTGGCTAGGAGTTGGTTCTGATCTCCAGATGTTAGAGAGCGGTTTCTTTTGGTGTTGTGAGTGGTCTAGAAATAGCCAATGTCTCGACCTCGTCATCAAACAGGTTAGCTAAGAAATCATGGCCATTGTCGTCACTGCTATCACTTACGTAAACACTTTCATATGTGGTCGAGCTTTACTTGAGGATACTTTAAAAGTTAACGGAATTTATTTGTCTAAAAGCAATTTTTGGTGCTTCAAGTTCCGAGTTGAATGAGTTTGATTTGAAGAAGACTTTCGCCTTGTGCATCCTTGGCGATGTTCAGACATTTCATTTTAATTACAGACTGTGGAGATTCCTCGAGTGAAACTAAAGAAGAAGATAAAGTCCATACAGATGTTTCGAAATTCCGTCGAAGAAATCGGCCCGGTAAGTGCCTTTTGTGACGGACTGTTGAGTGAATTTTGGATGAAATTATTTGGACAGGAATTAGGATCGCATAATTTGTTCCCAGTTTATTGTGGCAAGCGAGGGCACCAGATATTCAGCCTTCGCCGTTTCCATTGCAAAATAAGCTGACACAAACCCATCTCACCATCATCTCAGCTCACTACTGAATGGGGATGTGAATGATTGCTTCGTGGAACTGAGATCTGAGCAGTCGGGTTCGTCCTCTCTAGTCGTCTGCGCATCGGTCCAGCCGATTGTAGGAGACATTTTAGTTGCGCAAATTGTTTTTGGAAGAACTTTATCCCTTCTGCTCACAGCTGGATGTCTGCGTGTTGGGTATTCAACGCATTACAAATGCTTAATTATTTTTAGTTACGACATTATAAACTGTAATTTTGATCTACCGTGAGTTCACACTTATGCAAAGATGGATTTTTATTCAACACATCTTTTCACCTTTTTTTTCAATTCTGTACAGTTCATGTGCAAAACCGAAGTTCATATTTCCCATGAGACAGAAACAATCGTTATTTATGCATGAGTAATTGCAAGAAGCTCATCATCGCTTTCCCATTCCATGGTTCCAAATGTCTTTAGGATTTCCTCGCACTAAATTCTTCTCATAGCATGCGAGGATGTGTTGTTCCTCCTGATTTGCACTTCCTTGCTCCCTCGACAGGGTGATCGCGCGGGTATATGCGTAACCCAGTTGGATCCCGGTGTTATGGAGCGCGGCTATTTGGCGTCACCGGACAGTCTGTCGACGTGTCATGCCTGCCTTCTTACAGGAGTAGCACGGATCGTTTATTACAAGGGTGCTGTGCGCAGTAATCAGCGTTTCCACGTCTCGATCGGACAGGACACTGTTCTCGCACGTATCACTTGTCTTCGTCGAGTAGAAGGCAAGAAGGAAACGGAGGAAGGGGAGTTCGAGTACATCGAGGAACTCTGCAGCGAGGGTAACTTGTCACCTCATTTGTCATCATTGTTGTTGGTGTCTAAATACCGCGAATCTGCTCTCAATGTGTTGTTGTTGCTTACTAAAATCCAAATGTAACAGTTCCATAGTAGTTCTGCCAATTTTCATTGTACGTTGATCATTCCATGTTGCTACAAATAAAGGAGGCCTCTCCATACCTCCTCTCACTTGTATCACAAATTTTGTTGATATACCAGGAAGTTCAAAGTCTACTCCTCGCATATTGCATCCTAATCTGTGTAATGTATGACTGAGTTGGATTTACTAAAATTTATACTTCTCTGCTTTCGACTCATTTCTACTCCACAGTAGATGATTTAGCTGAGGCTTTTGAATGCGCACAGAAACGAACCAAATAGAAAGTGGACACTTCTTCCGTTAGAGTCACAAGACGAATATCATTTTTTTTTGTTAATTTTCAACTCTTGTCCCTTGTTAAGGAGGTGCGGATAAAGCAAGGGAGATGGTGTTGGAGTTTGACGCACCGGTGGTGGCACCCATGGGTGGAGTGGTGATTGGGTCGCGCCTTGACACCGATCCCCTCTCGTCAAGCTGCCGTCTTGCCTTTCATGGTACTGTCGCTCGCTTCTTCGAGTCATCTCAAGAATGTCGTGCCTCGCTTTCTGTGAGTTGCTGATTTTTCACTCTTACTTAGACGAACCAGTGGATGATTAGAGAGGGTGATCGGTCTAGCGAACAAATAAATCTCCTTAGAGTGGGAATCCTGTCTACTAGGTGGCTATTTTATGTACGAATTGACTTTTGTATATGTCTGTTTTCCCATTCCATTCCCAAATAGCTTATTGACTGTGAATAGTGCTCTTTTATGGTTGCCGTTGGGATTTATTCGCCCTTTTAAATGGGAGCAGGCCTCCATTGCACAAAAATTTACCGACAAGTCATCCATTGACTTTTGTGCTTTCCACATCTACGTGCTTAAAGTTTAATGTCATTTGATCTCATCATAAAAATTCCACGGAATTGGAGGTGTATCGCTGTTGGGTCTTATTGACGGTTTACTCTAAAAGGGTTCCTGTGCGATAGTGCCTGCCGAAAGTACGCTTTTCTGTTGTCGAGTTGGATGAGGGTAAGGAGGGATGCAATTTTTGCATAACTTCATACAGTAGTCAAGTCTTCCTTGTTGAATTAGAATGCCGTCGACTGATGGCTGTGCCTTAACTCATGTTGACTTTGTGGAACCCTCGTTCTTAACTATGCGCACAATCTCTGTCTCCTTTAGGGTGAATGTACAGTGAGAGCTTACCAACGCTGTATATTGTCATTTGTAGGCCCATTTGAGCATTTTGCTGCCGAAACCTTGAGCGTAGTAACTAAGACTCCTTTGTAAGAATAGTACTTGTAAAAGTTAACCACTTGAATTAAAATCAATATGTCATGGATTGCCTCGACAGGTCTACCGATGCAAGCAAAGGCGAGGCGAAGTGGAGAGAGTGATAGATCCACGAAGCTGTATCGTGAGGGGTCTCTTCAAGGGTGAGACCAACTGGGAGTTGTTTACCGGTCTCACTGTTACTGTCATCCTTCCTCCTTCTTTTGCCTCTGTCACCACTGAGGGCGACAACGTGAATTCCATTCGGGCTGTAATCGAAGGTAGTTTTGGACGCGCTGGAAAGTGTCGCATTCGGCTTTTTGGTGAGTTATTCAACTTCCTTTACGACTATTTTGTTGTCAGGTTTCTAATCTTCGGAAATTGCTTCTTCTTTCGACCTCCTAGCCGATCTTCCGGACGCCTTGGTAAAACGGTTTAGCGGGAAGGCGGGTAAGAAGCTGGCTAAAGAGACCGCGTCGGCAGACACTGCGAATTCCAACACTGACATCGTCACCAACACGCTTGATGGGCACCTCGCAGTGACACTGGATTTCAAAAAACACGTCTTTGACACTACCAAACGCTTTTTCCAATAGTTTACTCGTAACTTTCCTTTCTGTCTGCATCCATTGTTCACTGATTTGGAATGGATTCACTGGACTCAAGAAAACTAATGCATTTTACTTGAGTCTTGGAACCTTGCTGTGGGGAGTCTACCGGAACTGCCCCGAAACTTCTTTACATTCTTGTCATATCTTTTGCCATTATCATGGATCTAGAGGTCGCACAGGTCCAGGTCCTTTTGACCTTGCTGCCAAAATATGGTGGCTTACATCACGGCGACGGGAGGGACAGTGTGCTGCACCACACCGCAATGGCATGGAAGCAGATCGAGGAGGGTGGGAATAGCAGCACGAACAAATTTGAGGGTGGGTAGATGTGAGGCAGATTTGGTGGTTGACTTGTCGAGCTTCGCCCATTTATGGACCTTCGTCTTCAAGTTCACCAACAATTGTTAGCATTTACTCCCTTTGCCATGGTGTGAGGCTCAGTACTGCAGTCTTTGGGGGCGAATTGAGGCGTTGTCTTTCAGGTGGTGTAGATCCTCTTGAATCCTTAATTGTTGAAGTCTAGAAGCATTAGTGTGTTTGTTGCTTCTTGGTTTGCTATTATTTATGTTCATTTGCCTCCGTACAGGATACCAAATCACAGGAGAATTCCAAAGTTATGGAAGCTTTAAAAACTGTTTCTCCTCGGGTCTATGAATGCTTCAGTAATTTTTCAAGTGTTACTTACGCAAAAACACATTTTTTTCTCGTCGGTGGATGAGCAGATTGATGCTTTACACACAGCAACGCAAGGAAGAAACGTGGAGCACTTTTGTGTCAATGTCAAGCCATGGCTGAATTGTAGAAGCAGCAGCCCCTGTGGTCGTAATGACTTCCCTATTGCAGATAACACTGGAACTTATTCCTGAGACAGAAGAAAGTGTTCCTTGGAAAGTAGCTGAGCTGAGATTCTACCACTTCTCCTACAAACGGGAACCAAGTTTAGTTGAATGAGGTCGAAAGCACCAAAATGAATTGCTGTGTGCAATTTAACCACCATAACGCTTCGACTACTGTGAAATGTTCCGTCAGTCACTTCCATATGTGCTTGTGCTACCGCAATAGCTCTTCTCCCTCCATGATTTCCATCTCCACCTCGGTGGCACAGTCGAGAGGACGTGCTTTTGGCTCTTCGTCCACTCCTCAACGCTGGTAATAAGGACTTGTACACTTATACTTCCAGCTGTGGAATAATCAATGTTTGTTCACTTAATGGATTCGATGATGACTGAGGTTGGAAGGACGACACGCATGTGGTGTAGTGGAGGGTGGAGATTGACATTGCGGCAGGCTTATAACCATAGCAGGGGTGGTTTATTCTGGCTCCAGAATGATTGGCTAATTCGAGGATCATTCTCGGTTCTGTAGCCCCAAGGATTGAATTTGGATGGCACCAAGTATACGTGAACTACTCTTGGATGGTTGTTGAATACATGTCGGCACACTTCACCTTCAGCTCCTTTGTACCGGCCAGCATTGCAGGCTTAGACGAAAGTCATCCGATCGGACGTATTTGCTTGCAAGGTGGCATTAGTGGCCCAGCGGCACCGAACGTCATCACAGTACACAGGTCGAGGATTACGAGGATGAGATCACGATCTGTGCCGCGTGACCGCTGACTAATGACGAAAAGAACAGGAGAATGTTTTGATTAGTCTGTAGTTTGATGGGTCTCAGTTGTCCACTGAAAGATGGGACACTCGAAGGAACGAAACTGAATGCATTGCAGACTAATCTTGAATGTGCCTCTCGGCGGCACATTTAAATTAGGATGCTTGAGATGAAGTGTAGAAGAATTGAATAATTAAGGAGCTACTCGATGCCATTGTTGAGAGTTTATACAGTCGTTAAAGTCGACTGTCAGTATGTCACTTAGGGACTCATTTTCAATCAGTATGGAATTCTCCTCTACGACTACCGTGACCGACAGACTAAAAGCTCTTCTGCACTTCCTTGAAACCATCCCTTAATCACATCAAAAGTAGCTTCTGATTCATATGGATCCAAAGGAAGAACATGAAGGAGTGGAAGAATGTTTCAACCTTTGATGGTGTGTGTGTGTGTGTGTGTGTGTGAGGGTTGAGACATAAAAGGAAGCACCTCAAATTGTGTCGACAAATGTAAACTATTAGGCATCCAAAGTGTTGAGATTCATCGAAATCACCTATTGTTAACTCCTCAACCATTCAAGTTTTTGTTGGGAACTGATTGAGTCTTGACCTGACTCGAAGGTCAGACCATACAGGCAAGAGCAATAGGAACATCAAAACGATCGTAAGTCCCACCGATAGCCACATAAACGAGGTTGTATACTGTTCCTCTTCTTTTCAGCGATGCCATCGGCACTCGTCAGACATCACAACATTTTTGGTACTACAAGGAGGCACCCATGAATCAGCTCTGCCAGTCGTCGACGTCTTGGCCGTCGAAGCAGGTTTAAATGCAAGTAGGGCTCCGATATGGGAATTTCTGCTGATCATCAATTGTGTCCAGAACCAGACGTTATAACACTGGGCTCAAACAAGCCCAGCACAGTCCAGTATGGAAGCGGTCCAGCATAGTGTTATCACCAACATCTACACGCGGATGAAACGAAACGTTTCCAGACAGTTGGTAGCAGTCTGACTCGACTCTTCTGTTGTGGAACGTTGGAGGTTCTCCCATTGAAGGTGGATGCGCCTCATTTGCACCTCATAAGCTTATCACAAGCGGAGAAAACCGGAAAACGAAGCTGCAACAACGTCAGGTTGGATTTCTGTCGTCACCAATGTCACATTCCGAAAGGGGTCGGGCTTTGACCCAGACTGAAGGTCAGCCTATGCAGCCAAGAGCAAGATAGACACCAAAGCGACCCCCAGGTGGCCATCTAAACAAGGTCTTACGCTTATAATAAGCCCTTCGAAAAACACATCGAGGATTTGTATTTACACTTTAGCCTGTACTAACATTCACAACCCAAAGGCAGCCTCATCGAATTCTGTAGCTTCAGGAAGGGTTGAGAGACAATTTGCTGTATAGTGCCACTTTCTTCTTGTTGTCGACCTACCTTCCAGTCACTAATGCACTACACACCAGACTTTATGAACAACGATTTTCGTGGGAATTAACTCGACTGGCATTTCTCTCGTTTCTAAAAAAAAGGTGCAATCAATTCAAACAATAAGTAAATTCACTTCGTCCGCCTCATTTGACAAGATGGAAATGCATTGGAGAAGAATGTACATGCAATCGACTTCTGGCGATTAATTTAATAAGAGATGGGATGTTTGAAGCCACCAGGATGGATGCAAAGTGCTTAAAGGTGAGGAACAGAATGTCATAACATCTGTTTACTGGTAGAAAATTTCTATAGGAACAAACATGACAACGGTAAAAATCGACCTTTACACTGCGCTTCTTTAGGTAAATGTAGGCTTTTAGGTACTGTGAAAAGGACCAAGGGGAGGTTTCAGGGTCACACATCAAGTTATGTAGTAAGGCCATTGACAACCAGGAGGTACTGGGATGGCTTTCGGTTTAATGACGGTTTCTGGTCCCCCGCCTTCACAACAAGCCCAAGACCTCTCAGAACTTTTATTTCATGATCTTTCATCAGTGATGGTTTCGAGGAGATTCAGTGCGCTTCGGGATTCCCTCTACCGTGTTTGCGTATGGAAGCCGATTGCGGTTGCGCAACAAAGCATTGCAGTGTTCCTTGTTCGCCTACTGTCTTGGATCAATGCTTCGACTTTTAGCTTACGATAAAAGTGGTGATCAACAGTGCTTCCCTTATCTAATTTCTTTTCAGATCAAACATAATTCCACATCAATTTGTATCTTTTCGAGGATTACTAGTAAGGAAGGTGTGTCCAGTGAAGTGCCAATGACGTCGGAGTCCACTTTGATTCTGGGGCTATGTCGAAGTCTCACTTCAGAAAATTGCATCTGATGCAGGTATATAGTTGTGTACTACCTTCTTCTGCCCTAAAGTAAGTCTCAAAAACCTTCAGATCCCATCAAAATGCTGTAAAGTAGGTTGATTGTAATGGTCTTAATGGATTACCAGCGCATGATATTCACACACGAAAATACCGCCAATAACTAGGCTGTTGTCCAGTGCGTCAGAGTTTGGATGCACAATTTTGGGCGGCAATGTGGTGAGTTGATAATGCATTTCTAATACTTAACATTTGTTTTCGATTAACTTGATATGCGAAATTGATTTTACAACACAATTCTATAGCGTTTTTATGGCCTCTATTATAATAATTTTGTTTAAAGATTATTCAGTCACTAAGCTAACTTAAGTAGCCTGCCGTAAAATGCAGCAGCAGAGGGCTATTTATTGATGGCTTTAAAATGTCCACGGTCGAATCCGAATTCGGTATCATTTTAAGTTGCCCATAGATAAAAGTCTTTGACGGCTGCATTTTGATTGAGCTTTGTTCTCATGTACCATATCATGCTTCAATTTTGTGTGTATCATTGCATCGCAATGGCGTAAAACTATTTTTTTAGTTCGTTGACTTGATTGCTAGTTTGTTTGTTGAAGGCCATAAACGTTCAGCGAATCCGCTTTTCTCGAAATCAATTGGTTGGTGTTTGTCGACTTATTTGGTGTCGTTATAGTCCCTTTGACAATATATCTAATTGCGCCGACTGCGATTGTAAGTATCGTACACGAAGAATACTCCTGTTATCCCTCTGGAGACGATGACTACGGTATCGCTGCTATGGGTTGGGGATTTGAACCAGGACAAACGTATGGCCAGTACATCTATGAAGGTGTCTGATGAGCGCTATCGCCCGAAACTTATTGAGTTAAAGGAGGGTCAAAAGGAGATCAGAATTGGTCGTCTGAACTCTACAAATCCACCTCATTACCTTATTGAGAGTTGCATCAATAAGCGTATGATTTCACGCAACCATGCTACTATTGAACGATTACCAGATGGAGGTTTTATGTTATATGATCACAGTATGAACGGAACATATGTTAATTATATGCGAGTTTCCGGTGGTGTTACTCTTAAAAACGGGGATATTGTCTGTTTTGGTCATCTCAATGGCGCTAATCTAAAACCTGGGGATGATGTTACTCCATTCTTTTCCGACCTTAAGTACCAAGTATGTGTTAGTTTTCCTCTTATGTATACACCTTTCTTTGCAATGTTATTTGGCTTCACTTCATTGTGTTTCTCTGGTAGGTATACATTGGTTCTCCCAAAGAAGTTGCTGCCGCCACAGCTGCAGCAGGAGACTCGAACTCAGATCGGATATCTGTTAATAAGCGGCAGCGAAAATCGAGTGGAGGTAGTCATGAGGTCAAAAAGGGTGTTGTGTCCTCTTCTAAAACTCCCAGTCGTCATCGGGGTGGTGATGAAGCAACAGGTAGTATCAAGTCCGAGGCGGAGGACAGTGATGAGGATTTGATGGATCGTTTATCAAAGCGCAAATCTGGTGTTCAGTCTGGGGGGAACAGCGTAAAACGAAATCCATCTTGCAAAAGCAATGGTATGAAGAAGCATGCCTCTCCTCCTCCATCAGTCGTGAAGAGATCTAAGCACCATTCAAAGAAATCTCGGGCTAGAGAAGTGGCCGTTGATGCAGAGGACGATGAGAATGATGATGGTGATGGTGACTCTGCGATGGGAGGTGACAATGAAGACGTTGCACGTTATGGAGAAGATGATCAGGAAGAGTGTTCGGCACGTACCTGCAAGAAGCCTGCTGGAACGGCAATTGATTGGATTCAGTGCGATAAATGCTCGAAATGGTACCACCAAATTTGTCTTAATTTGACTCCAGAGGAGGCGAACGTAGATGTCTATTACTGCCCGTCGTGCACCAAGAAGCGCTAGGTTTTATGCCACTGTCGTGATCATCATGACTCCACTTTTGTGTAAATAGGTTTTTCCGTGCGCACGTACAACGGGATTTTTATGATCATTGGAGGACGGTGGTTTGAGTATTTTTCACCATTTTCTGTGAATTCTATCTTGATTAGCGTCAACCTTTGCTACTTATCTCCATCCCTCATCTTCATCCTCCTGTCCGATGTTTATCGCTTGCCCTGTCCATATAATGCTCCACTTATCATTCTTTGTCCAGTGGACGTTTGTTAATGCTTGCTACTTATAATCTCTCTGGATTCACTGAAGCTTGCACAAATGCATGTAATTTAAGTAACCGTTTTGATTTTCATGTTGGGTAGTCTCCACCAAAAACTGGGGATCGGTTGTGTTGAATGTACAGGTGTTGCAGTGCGTTGATGGTTTTTTCACTGAGTTTCGGTGAGGATACTGTTCGGTCTCGACTTCACCAGAAGAACGGTCGGATGGGGTTGGTCTGTTGTATGGAGGTCGTGAAGTAGTTATTAAAATTTGAAGGATTAAATGTTGTATTTTTAGTTTTATAAGTTCTTTACAGTGGCTGAGGTGGGTCAGACGGTGTTTGTTTAAAGCAGCTATTGGTTTTGCAAGACAATACAAGGTGTATAAATGTCGAGTTTGGGTTCTCAACTCTCTTCTTTCTTTCACTGAAGGGATCTGAGGTGTCGAGTCTACTTAGGTCACCTCTGGAGTCACTGCTTGTTCATACCACGCAGAGACGGTCCTATTGAAAGCATAACAGAAGATTGCAAGACTGCCGGCCTCATCTCCCTTTTCGAGGTTGGATAACACATAATCAGGGTAGCATTTAATATTTTTCACAATAGCAAACATTTGCCAATCGTTTTGGTCCCTAGAGGGGCTTTGCCATCTCTTTTTGTTGCAGTACTCTCTGTGATTGTCTAAGGCACTTAAAAGGCTATAAATCGCCTTGGGGTGACTTGAAAACCGATCGTTCATTTAAGCTCTAGTGAACACTCTACTCCGATTTGTCATTTCCTCCTTTGAAGGTGCCTAATGGGGCAGGGGTGTGCTCTCAGGCGACCCTCGCGGTAGCCCAGATGGCGGACAGGAGGTGTCACGTGGCGCGTTCACCCACATCCTAACTACTTTCAGTGGGTGCAGTGTGGAGGTCTTGAGTGTAGGCCGTTCACTTGTCCAGTGTTTTGAGAGTTCAGGCATGTAATTTGGTGCTTTTCCAAGCAGTGTAGTCACTCTATGCGATTCTTTTGCGTAGTTTAGTTACTACGACTTCATGCCACACCGATTGCAAGGATTTTTTGCGAGTCACGTCAAGTAAATGTGCAACTTTGAGAAACGCACTGTCTTCACCAACTTCAGGGTTTGTTGTAAAGTAGTTAACACTAGAGAAAAACGTCCGGGAGATGGGGATGGAATGAAATATGCACTTAATTGTACTCCTGCAAGTAGTGGTAGCACGAGGCGATATAAAAACTGGTCACATCTTACCAACAAGATGGACAAAATGTAATAAAAAGCCAGAGGACAATGCTCATTCACTCGTCCAAAGTGATATGAAGGAAACAAACGAAAACACCACTACTTCGACCACCAAGGTTGAAGGTAAATGAGGGCGTGGTGCGAGGACAAAGCGGTGAAAGTTGATGGCGTGTGATTCAGCGATATGAAGGGAAATAGAAGCCAGTAGCCAGGTGGTGTGTGTTTGTGTGTTGAAAGTGATAATGGAAATTTCGATCTGGTTTCTTCGCATCCTCTTCTTCTCCTCCACCTCCAGTTGGAGGATCATTTGAAGTAGGAGGTGGACAGGGTATAGTAAGGAGCTGCCACAGTTGGATTCATTGGTAATGCGAATGGACGCGTTCTGAAGCACTCCAGTCCTCAACCGCAAGTAATGCGAACTCGAGGAAGTGTGTAGATGTCATTAGAATTGATGTGATGTCAATTTCCCCTTCACAAATTGTTTGAACACAGCTATCTACTGTTGCGATTGTGGAAGCAGAAAAGTGAGTGCTCATGTGGGATGTGGTGAACGATGTTGAAAACGTGACAATGCATGTGAATGTCCACTTATTCGTGGACCATTGTACTAAATGCATCGGCCACCACCTCAACCACGGGCACAAGCTCATAACTAATGAGCGTAGCAACAAGTGGAGCCATTGTGACAAGCATTTACGTTTTTGTGCTTCGACAACGCGATGGTGTCGGAGTAAAATTAGGCTGTTGTGAAGCGCATCATGCTGTGTTTGAGCCCTAAACTCGGAGAAGAAGTCGATGATTGAGCTGAGATTAGCAAATCCGGACGGTTTCGCGTTAAATGGTCGATCTGAGTGGCACTAGGGCCTGTGAAAGGCGTGTGGTGCCTCAGGGGATAGTGGAAAAAGGACGCTACGGGCAAACTAATGCTTGGGCCACGCATCACCCACAAGTCTGGAAACGCTAGCTCAGACATCCAGTGCGGAGCAACGTTGGTGCAGTTTAGGATGCAGTTGAGTGTCCCGATATGCTTAAGGTTGCAGGGTGAGTCGGGAATATGAGCTACTGAAGCTCACGTTTGGACATGAAACAAGGCGAGGCGTCACTCCCTTACCCTTCTTCCCTCCAAATTGAGAGTGAATGAATGCGACTGCCTTGTTGTCGGTCTCTTATTTTGATCTCGCTTATCGCGAAAGGAAGGTAAAGGAATGAGACGGGATTGGCGGTGCTCGACAGCTGCTCACTTTTAAAGAATGGCATCGGTTTGACCTTTTGTGCTTGAATATCGTCATCAATTTGTCTAGCTTATTGTACGCTGTAGAACACAGACGTTTGACAGTTGGACTCTACTGCAGCTATTGTTTCGGCTTTAAGAATTAAACCAGTTTAATGCCTTTATTCAACGTCGGTGACTTATTTTCAAACAGTGACAACAGTTATGTTGAGCGGTTTTTGACGAAATATCATCGTATTCGCGACAAGCACTTTCGTAAATATGGTTTGAATAAAAATATAGGTGACAGAGCAACGTCCTACCCTTCAACAACGACTAGAAACGAAAAAAAAACAATCTGCTAACTTAGTCTTCGCCACTAATAAATAAATTGTGCAACAATGCACGCGCTGAGCTAAATGGGACCTTCCTTTGCTTGTTCCAAGGAAAGAGTAATGGTCATCGAGCAGAGAACAACTGTCTAAGGACTTGAATAGCTGCACAGCATCCAAATTCGGCATCAAAAGCCCGGAACTATAAGTTTAGTCGACAAACACACGGAGCAGCACTCCAACCCGCTACATTATCATCAGCACCCACGTCGTACAGCAGGACGGAGAAAGACAAACAACCAGAAACACGAAAAACGACTCCGAACCCGCAAGACCAGCTAACATTAGGTTGAAAAAGAGTTCAGTCCCTTACAGAGACCCGAGCCCACAACAAAGCAAAAGAAATGAAAGCCGAATTACAGATTTACTAGCAAGTTTCCACCCAAATTAACGAGAATGACACTGCATGGATCCGACAAGAAACAAAGACCATAAACGAAAAGACAAAAAAACGCACCCAAGTTTACGAAATAAGACAATGAGATAAGCAACAAAATATTGTTATTGTGGTATTAAATGAAATAGCAACGAAAAAAATCAACCGCCACGAAGACGAAGCACAAGATGCAGAGTTGACTCCTTTTGAATGTTGTAGTCAGACAGAGTGCGACCATCTTCCAGCTGCTTACCCGCAAATATCAAACGCTGCTGGTCCGGTGGAATGCCCTCCTTGTCTTGAATCTTCGCCTTCACATTCTCTATCGAGTCACTCGGCTCCACCTCCAAGGTAATAGTCTTCCCCGTAAGCGTCTTCACAAATATTTGCATGCCACCACGAAGTCGAAGCACCAAATGCAAAGTCGACTCCTTTTGTATATTGTAGTCAGACAAGGTGCGTCCATCTTCCAACTGCTTACCGGCGAAGATTAAACGCTGTTGGTCCGGTGGAATGCCCTCCTTGTCTTGGATCTTCGCCTTCACATTCTCTATCGAGTCACTTGGCTCCACCTCCAAGGTAATCGTCTTGCCAGTCAACGTCTTCACAAATATTTGCATGCCACCACGAAGTCGAAGCACCAAATGAAGGGTCGATTCCTTTTGTATATTGTAGTCGGACAGAGTGCGACCATCTTCCAACTGCTTACCGGCGAAGATTAAACGCTGCTGATCCGGCGGGATGCCCTCCTTGTCTTGAATCTTAGCCTTTACATTCTCAATGGAATCACTGGGCTCAACTTCCAGAGTAATAGTCTTCCCCGTTAGCGTCTTCACAAAGATTTGCATGATGAGCACACTCGCAAACCAACCACTAGCACAATAACCCAAGGGTGTAGAGCGCCGACTTAAATTGGCCCAGTTTATTTACGTTGGCTAGTGTAAATTATTACTTGATTGGCTGCTTTACAAGCTTGCTAAAGATACGCTCACTTTTCATTGGTTATAAGCTTTGATAGCATTCACTGCATTAACCTGTGCAAGTAGGCTTAACGGGCAGCTATCGACCACGTTAAGTGCGTGCATGCATTTCCAGCGCGCCCGTGTCGATCTCTTACTGCCTTTCACTACGCTCCCTTTTTGCAGTGCAGCATCAAGCGTTGGGCTTACATTAGCCTACTTCGAATTTGATTGTATAAATTTGGATTTGGTTCCTTGAGTAACTTAATTTTATTATGTGGCATCAAATTTTACCCGTGAATTCGTCAAAATTTGGGTTTTGTATGTTACTCTCCTTAATTTCATTTAATGCACGATGCATGTGGAAATAAACAAGCGCTAGGTAGGTGAACACAATTAAAGAACTGCATTAGAAGTAAGTGAAGATGCTTTGCTACTTATCATCCGATATTTAAACAATGGACGGTGTGCGAAAGACTCCCTCTGCTAATGATCGCAGTCGCATCATAGCTCCAAATAAGATTAGAAGATTTCCCACCGCAAGTAATATGTTCTCGTAGGGTTTACCTCTCGTACAAACTTTCAAAAGTTCAGATTTTTGTGAGGTTCTCTTTTTTCAGTAACATGGCTTTTGGAAGCGGTTTGGTGGAGGTATTATTTTTCCATGATGTTAGAGAAATCCCTATTTATTACCACTTTCACAGACAAGAATGAAGTTTCAGGAAAGGGTAAAGTGGAACTATGCCTCAAAGAATAAAGGAAAAGAGCGAGTTCCCCACAATTGATTCAGCCATTATTACTTTTCGGTAAAACAGCTAAAATGCCTTGCATTTAGACCTATTGAGTTTAAATCCATAGTTTTAATGGTAAAAATGTATAACCGGTAGATGTAACACACGTTTGCAGCCGATGTGATATTGCGACGCATGCACGCATGCAAGCTGAAGATGCAGCCTCCCCGTCACTCAATTTTTATTGGTTAGCCTCAGCGTCTCTCATCGTGCCATCTGCCGAGGTAGCTCAGTGGCCTTGTCGTTAACTTTACGTGCCCTTACCTTCACTCGTACCACTGCCTCCAGTAGAACTTCAAACCTACTTAACATTCCACCTTCCGCCTTCACTACTCCTCATGCCACATAGGTGGGTGAGTGAGACAATCAATTCAGGACTGAGTGAACTACTCAGGAAGGTCACTGATTGCACAACCATGTGCGAGTGCCGATGCATAACCATGCAAGACCTCAATGCTCCAATGAAGTTCCAGTAGAGGCTACTTGCAAACGTGACGTTGTGATGTGTGAGTTGGACACTTTTTGTCCTCCAACCCGTGTGGGATGCAATTTGAACACTTCTGAGGACCACGTACCACCAACCACATCACCGTCAATCACCCGACCTCATGTCCTCACTTCCACCATCTTCTCACCCAATCAGTTAGTCCTTCCTCCATTTAACAACCCACATTGTGGAGGATGTGGAAGGACGGAGGGAGAGATGTTAGTGGTGGTTGGACGATGGAAGAAGTAGTGACATTTGTTATACCCATCAACTCTTGAACCACTGTTTTGTAACTCACTCTCCTTCTGTGCTTGCATGGCCATATTTGTATTCCATTCGTATCCTCAAATCACTCTTCCCACACAATTCTTATGACCGAAGCGGATTTTGACTGTCCTTCAAATTCATTCTTTTCCCTCATTTTGCGCCTCTTGCCTATCCATCACTGAAACTCGTCAATGCCACCTTATATGGCTTTTGTGCCACCTCAACTGGAACCATTGATGGAAAAAAAGCTTTGTTAGTGTAGTTAACTGCACCTCTGCATCACTCTCGCAACAGCGTTGCAATTATCTCCTGCCAATGGGTGGGTTCTAGCACACCTATGGCTCTCCTCTCTCTTCCTCTGCCTCCGTCGGTTGTCTCTGTGCGACCAGCTTTTGGAACGCTCATTTGTTGATTTTCTCTCGGTAGTTCACCTGTAACATTCGCCTCCTCTCACGCTCACACCTTAACGCCACAACCTCGTCCTTGACCTGCCAATGACTGTGCAACTGCTTATCAATTGACGCACTTTTCAGTTGATCGCATGTGGCAGTGAATGTGAGGCAGAAGTACTCAGTTGTACCCCATTCAGTCGGTTCTCTGTGCTGCCTGTGAGAGATGGGGTACGCATTGAGGTGACGCGAACTCATCAATTGTGGTGACATCGTCCTTTCGACGCCCCATGCATCCATCCATTAGTCTTCTCGTCTCCCACCAACGAAACTGCTTCTCTTACTCAAACACCTCTGCCTTTCTCGATGCCTTCACTACTTCTCGCCTGAAGCCTGTGCCTACGATGTGTGTCTTCCACCCTCTTCCTCCTCACCCCTCTTTGCCCTCTTGTTCCACCTCTCTCATTGTTTCATCGTTCGCTACCTCATTCCTTTATCTCCGTGCCACAGTGCTATCAATCCAGCTTATAGTCAACCATTGCCTCTCAACTCCTCCCTAGACTCGAGCCTTCACTCCTTCCCTCATCGGCACACGCCCGTGTTTGTTGTGTTTACGCACACATTTGTCAATCACTTTGTTTATCATATTCTTGCAGATAGGCGTGCTTTACAAAGCACGATCTCAGCTACGTCTGAAAATGAGGATTAAGTAAAGTAGAGGGTCCTAAAGAAGAAGATATATTTTGATGCGTCGTTCGTGGCATCCATCCACTTTTCCTCACCGAGCCTCCTACTTCACTCAACTTAGATTCATACATTGCAATATCCTTACCTCTATTTGGCATGGGGAAAAGATAGCGAAAAACTATCCATTGTGGCGTAAACAAACCATAATTGCCGCCTGCAAACGCGAGATGAAGTTGTGTCGATTGGGAAGTCGTATGATGATGCTGAAGGCATAACGAAGGGGTGAACTCGGGAATGGGGACGTGGGCAAAGCAAATGACTGACCTAAAATGTTATTATCAGTGATAACAGTTCCCTCTTGTCATATGGAAATGCAAGACATTCTCCTTCCTTTCACAGTCTGTCAAGTTAGTCACCTTGAAAGCAAACAAAGCGTTTCCTGTAAGTGTCCTAACAACAATGGAAAGGGAAGATAAATTTGTGCTTTTTGCATCGAGTTATTGCCTTTGCAACTTTCCAACCTTATAACCGGATGCACCTCTTAAAAAGTGAGTGTAGCACAACTGTTGAACAAACTCAAAATAGCCGACATTATTTGCATACCTCATCAGTTTGAGCCCCACTACTTCCATCAGCGTGCAATAGTACTAACTGCATCAGTAGTATCTACTCTCATTGTGCAGATGCTAAAGAAGCGATGACTAGCACAATAAAATGGAGCTAATGGAACGGGACTTCACATCTGCATTTCACCGACCGTATCAGAATTGCCTTCCACAAATAATCACGGAGGCACTTTGCTTCACTTCATGCGACAGCAGTGATCGGCGCGAAACATCATAAAATCAGTTTTATGGTAGAGCGCACTCCAAGAAAAGTTCTCGTCACTTGACGCAACTTGTTCGTTTTCTTAAAACTCTGGTTTAAACCTACGAAAAGTAATCATTTAAGTTTACAACAGCGACCACAACGACCAAAACTCCTCGATGTCTGGCTCAACTTAAAAGGTTCCACAAACTTGTTACCTTTTAGTTTAGACACCACTACTCATGAAGACAGCGGAAGCATCAGCGGTAATGCAACATGCACAAATTCGAGAGGAATAAAACTTATGCCACACAGCAAACATTCTTACGATCGTTCAAACGGATACGCGAAACGCCTTGGAAGGAGCATTCCGCGCCAAGGGTCGGCGATAAGCAAGTTTGCACACTTGAATTGCCTATGTGCCCACTACCACTAGCCACGAAAACCAACCTCCCACCGCATTTAGTTCATCACGACGTCATTTTTTAGGCATTCCTTCCGCTGTCGGAAGCGCCCACCGCATTGGTGAAGGAGGCGCCATCCTCACATCGCCTCTCCTCACCTTACCTCACTCACCCTCACTTGTGTTTACGATCATTCAATACACCACTCACGTTTAAAAGCAAATTGCCAATCATTCTTGACAGAGAAGTGCCCACACCAATTGACAGATTTTTCAAACCAAACATTGCCGTTTTGACAAACTTGGTGCTCATTTTACGGTAAACAACTGGCAATTTACTCATCTATGACGTCACGTCACGATGACAAAGTTGGGACAAGCATGTATACACCACTGAAGTCTCACAACTCACTTATTTGATTGCCTCCTGAGTCGATGGTGGCAGGAAGTGGCCATGTGCTGCAATGTCCCCAGTGCTTAGTCATTCACGAGGTCAATCGGTGGACCATGCATCACCGATGCCGTGGGGGCGCACTTCCCTCACGCATCCTGACCGCGTTATCGCCTCTCCTCCACCCCCCACCCCACCCCTTCACTCTCCACTCATCAGTTTTCAGCCTCCCAACCCTCCTACTTACCGCTTTAAGTAGTATGTCACTTGTTCAAGCAACTGCATCTCGCAGTGTCGACGCTGAAGTCCCACGCCTGTTCGCCGTGTTGACTCCTCCTAATCCAGTCTACATCGCTCCTCCCTCCAATCCATCATTGTTCCCCTATATGCCCTATCAACTCACCATGGCAAAAGTTCACTCAATCTGCCAATCCACCCAGACGACACCCATGCACAACCCATCCACTCACACATTCCTCACGGTGCCATTCGTCCCCATTTCCACAATCCACCACAGCGACCGTGTAGAGCCAGTGGGCATCTACTGCGAGCGTACACTAGAGGACAACTGTCCCAATTGCCCAAACAGCCGCGCTTCGAGGTCATGAGACTCGCGTCTGCCCAATGTCCCCATGTCAGTCATGCCAGACAGCTGCGCTGATCGGAGCGATTGTGCATCGTCCACCCCCCACTTCACACTTGAGCCTCGAGTGGAAGCGTTTTGTGGCGCTGCCCCAACCCACCCGCCCAATCACGCCTACCTGGTCTCAATGTTGTCAAGCGATCGGTCTTCCATGTTGTGGGGCTTTAGAATGAAATATAATCCACTTGACTTTATCCTTCTCCACTTCTGGGTGTAAAAAAAATTACAAATTTGCGACCCGTACACATGGGCAGTCAGAAGCGAAAGACGATTTACCATGTTTCATAATGGAAATTGTGAGCTAATCGTAAGATAGCAACTAGTTGCTGGCACCGACGATCTAATTGTCTGCCATCTCATCTGTTCATGGAGATTTTGCTCTATAGTTGGTGCAACATAGGTTATTGAAATCACATCGAAAAAAGGTTTAAAAAATTGGTGAATGCATTATAAATGCTATATTTGCTGTCTCAAGGCCTTTAGTACAACCCCGGCTTTCGATTTTGTTTTAAGCTTTGAATTCGCATAATGTTTCACGCTTTGCTGTACGAAATACTCCACACTTTTTTGTCCTCAGGAATCAGCTTTGTCATTTGTAACATTTTTTTGTCTTCGCTGTTTCACACAACATCGTGTAATATTCAAGGCAGGGTTTACAATCAGTTGCTATCTGCATTTCCTGGAGACCTACATTGTGCGTGCTATTGCTATGAATGACATTCGCATTTCCTTCTGTCAAATATCATTGGTAATACCTTTATTTTCCGACAACAATAAAAGCACAAATGAGGTTAATAAATGCGAATTCATGGAGATCTTACCCATATGACTGCCATTCGACTGATGATTCCCGCTATGGTTGACAATGTCTCACGAGGGTAAAGTAATTCGTTTCCATTTCACCTATAATCTCAGACTCAGACTTGGAATTTTTAGACATCACCAACTACTTATAAATTTATTCAGTAATACTTCAAAAAATAAATGACCTTTCTCAAATTTGCAGCTTGAAGAAGTAAAACCAAAACTAGTTTTGTTTTTGTTCCACTTAGTGCTTTGGCAGGAGTAACCTGATTTGCCGTTTTATCATCGCCAGTTACACTAACCTTCAGGTCACTCTAAAAATTAACAATTTTTTTCTATCTAAAGCGGCAAAACGGCAGCACTACAAATATCTATCAAATAACGTGCCTTTTACCAGCATTTTAAACGTGTAGTGCCAATTCTTTCGCATGTGAAATTGCTTTAGCGTGTTTAATCACCAGAGTGAACCACAGTGCATACTGCCTGATTAACTTTATGAAGGAGGCATGAAAGTTGAAGGTCGTGCGCTGTATAGCATCTGTGTGTAGCTTGTGGTGACATAGAAGTGCAATTAACTACAATAACAATGCTTCACAACTGGCTCCACTTGAGGTGACATAACAGCCACGTAGGTTGATGAAAGTATTGGTCATGTGCCTCGTGTGATTAAAAAAAAAGTGTAGTAAGGCGGAGAATCTACATCTCACAAAACTGAGAAATGAGGCTCAATTGAACCACCAATAGCACTAGAGAGAATGTGATTACCTTGCGAAGTTAACAGTGCTGAAGATGTAGGTGATTCGAGGTAGATAGTACGCCAACCAAGCCATGCATTCATCCATCCATCAATCTGTCCACGTGGCGATACGGGCAGTCATTTGAGAGCCAGAGTGAAAACCATCTCGTGGTCAAGTATACACAAGTCAGGCAACTTTGTGAAGCAGAAGGAGAGTGAGTTACAAGACAGTGGTTGAAGAGTTGATAGGTTTAACAAATGTCACTACTACTCCCATCGTCCAACCACTACTAATATCTCTCCCTCCGTCCTTCCACATCCTCCACAATGTGGCTTGTTGGATGGAGGAAGGAATAACTGATTGGGTGGGAGGATAGTGGCAGTGAGGACATGAAGTCGGGTGATTGACGGTGATGTGGTTGGTGGTACGTGGTCCTCAGAAGTGTTCAAATTGCATCCCACACGGGTTGGAGGACAAAAAGTGTCCAACTCACACATCACAACGTCACGTTTGCAAGTAGCCTCTACTGGAACTTCATTGGAGCATTGAGGTCTTGCATGGTTATGCATCGGCACTCGCACATGGTTGTGCAATCAGTGACCTTCCTGAGTAGTTCACTCAGTCCTGAATTGATTGTCTCACTCACCCACCTATGTGGCATGAGGAGTAGTGAAGGCGGAAGGTGGAATGTCAAGTAGGTTTGAAGTTCTACTGTAGGCATGTCTCTTGTCACAGGAAAAAAGTAAATGTGCCTTTCCGAAGAGCAAAGCTACTGACAGCATAGATAAAAAAGTCAAGCCTTCATTTCTAGTCGCCTATTAGTGCTTCCTAGACTTGAAAAAAAATTTCATGTAAATTCTCGTATTTAGTTCAAACTCTACATTATTTTGCTGAATAAATCCATAAAGCCGAAAGTTCTTTTCTTTCTGGTCCATGGCGTTGATGACTTTGTTACGATCACATTGCCATGGCTGCCCTTAAGGCCACCAGTGCTAATGATTGCATTCATTCCAATTCTCGTGCATTCGGCAATTTTATTGCAAGGTTTCAAAGGCTGAATCACTTTCAGCTTGCTGAATAGGCTAAATCCCACCAAAATGGTTCTAGAAGAAAAAAGCTCTTTAACTTTGTTAATTTAGCAGTTAATTGTTCATGAATTCCCCGTAAGTAATTACTCATATCAAAAGTGCCGCAAACATAGTACAAATGATTATTCCTTTTACTTTCAAGGATAAAGATATCGTGGCAAACTAAGGTAATGGATTACACCGTGCAAAGAAACCACAAAATTAATTTAAACCGAAATCAAAGCCACCATCTCATGCTCGTGAAAGACGCAGAAGGGATGCGACTAGGTAAGGAAATTAAGTGAGAAAATTAGAGAAATCTCCACTTTTGCATCAGGGCAGTATGAAAAGCAGAAAGGCGGGTAGAGGGTAGTACGGACGCACGGGGCATGATCGATAATCGTTTGGTCTGCCCTTAAAGCACGCACATCACAAGATTAAAATTCCAGAAAGTTCTAACCAATCGGCTGATAAAGAGTAGGCGTGATGTTGCGAATAGCAACCAATCAGGCGGAAAGCTTGGCTCACCGACGCAACGGCGTGGCAGCTATTTAAGCCAGCACTGTAACTCGCGCAGGCATTCTCCGGTTTTGTTGCGCCAGGCTTTGTTTCAGGATGCAAATCTTTGTGAAAACGTTGACGGGCAAGACTATTACATTGGAGGTGGAGCCAAGTGACTCGATTGAGAATGTGAAGGCGAAGATCCAAGACAAGGAGGGCATTCCACCGGACCAACAGCGTTTGATCTTTGCAGGAAAGCAGTTGGAAGATGGTCGTACTCTGTCTGACTACAACATTCAAAAAGAGTCAACTTTGCATTTGGTGCTTCGACTTCGTGGTGGCATGCAAATATTTGTGAAGACGCTGACTGGCAAGACGATTACCTTGGAGGTGGAGCCAAGTGACTCGATAGAGAATGTGAAGGCGAAAATCCAAGACAAGGAGGGCATTCCACCGGACCAGCAGCGTTTGATATTTGCGGGTAAGCAGTTGGAAGATGGTCGCACTCTGTCCGACTACAATATACAAAAGGAGTCGACTCTTCATTTGGTGCTCCGACTTCGTGGTGGCATGCAAATATTTGTGAAGACGCTAACTGGCAAGACAATTACACTGGAGGTGGAGCCCAGTGATTCCATTGAGAATGTGAAGGCGAAGATTCAAGACAAGGAGGGCATCCCGCCGGATCAGCAGCGTTTAATCTTCGCCGGTAAGCAGTTGGAAGATGGTCGCACTCTGTCCGACTACAATATACAAAAGGAATCGACCCTTCATTTGGTGCTTCGACTTCGTGGTGGCATGCAAATATTTGTGAAGACGTTGACTGGCAAGACGATTACCTTGGAGGTGGAGCCAAGTGACTCGATAGAGAATGTGAAGGCGAAGATCCAAGACAAGGAGGGCATTCCACCGGACCAACAGCGTTTAATCTTCGCCGGTAAGCAGTTGGAAGATGGACGCACCTTGTCTGACTACAATATACAAAAGGAGTCGACTTTGCATTTGGTGCTTCGACTTCGTGGTGGCATGCAAATATTTGTGAAGACGCTTACGGGGAAGACTATTACCTTGGAGGTGGAGCCGAGTGACTCGATAGAGAATGTGAAGGCGAAGATTCAAGACAAGGAGGGCATTCCACCGGACCAGCAGCGTTTAATCTTCGCCGGTAAGCAGTTGGAAGATGGACGCACCTTGTCTGACTACAATAT